TAGAGGGCCCTACTACGGACGAATATGGGTTCCTTTTTTTGAAACAACAAATAAAAGTCGTAATTTATGTAAGCGTTAAAATAGATAACCCTGTTTTATTTCTAGAAAGGTCGTGAATGAAAAGTTTGAAATCCTTTTTGTTAACATTGATAGGTGACCTCCGCTGAACTTCAAAATTGTGGGCACTATATACATACGGGATTATTCAAGATGGCGGACAAGTCYGTGAGTGTCGATGCTGTGCTCAATGTCGCAAGAAATCGATTTAAACCCATAGATGTCGCAAAAAATGTTGATCCAGAATTCGATATAGGAAACATGCTGATGACAGATTTACAGCCATTGAACGTGGACCAATTAAGGTGATGTACTAATTTGTCTCATGAGTTGTTCTCGTGAGACTTAACTTAAGCTTAAGCTTATTTTGCTCAATTTGTTTTGGAATCTTTTAATATTTCAAAGACATTTTAACAATATTAGGGTCGATACCCTTATTGAGTAGTTTTTTTGAAATCCTGACGAGGAATTCTAAGGATTATGATCTGCTGCACTTTAAAGTTTATACGTTCCAACCCACGTGGTTGATTGTTTAGGTTTACCATTTGACGTATTTACCAGTGCTTAGTGTCCAAAAAGGAAAAAATAACTTTAAAATGACACTTTGATAATACTAAAGAATAAATATGTGAGTTACTGTGAGTGTTCTGGACAAATGCCGTTTTTTTGTGTGTGTGACGTACACAGAGGAAGCTTGTCTCAAAGCTTGCAGACCACCACGGTGTAAGAGACGACAATCTTTTATGGATAAAGRACTTTCTTACGAACAGAACACAGTGTGTTGTGGTCGATGGTGAGCAGTCTTCTCTCCTACCTGTCAAGTCTGGCATTCCACAGGGCTCTGCTATCGGCCTGGCCCTGTTTCTCGTATACATAAACAATCTCCCCAAGTATGTTGAGTCGACAGTTCACCTATTATATTTGCAGACAACATTGCAATGATTCTTACAGTCAATTTCCTTGAAGACTGCCACAGACTCCAAGCCGATCTGCTCAGACTCGAGGAGTGGGAAAAGGACTGGCTGATGTCTTTTAACCCCATCAAGTGTGAGGTATTGCGGGTCACCCAAAAAAGGACTACAGTTATACATGAATGCAAGCTGCGTGGAGTATAAATACCTTGGTGTTCACTTGTCGAAAGGTCTGAAGTGGCATTACCACATTGGCAAAACAACATCAAAGGGAAACTGGACTCTTGGGTTTCTTAAAAGAAACCTGAAAGTGAAATCCACACATCTAAAGGAGAAGGCATATCTGGCTATTCTTAGRCCCAAGCTCGAATACTGTGCTGAAATCTGGGACCCTAGGAGTGGTGCCAAGAATTACTTACTGTATTAAAATGATCCAAYGCCCAATGGGTATTCTCAAAATACCATCCATGTGACAGTGTTTCGTCAATGATTGAGCATCTTGGTTGGCCCTTGCTCCAGCAGAGACAATCAATTRGTAGACTTGTCCTTCTATTCAAGATCATAAACAGACAGGTGGCTGTAAAAAGAGCTTCTGCAGAGGCCTCAAAGACAATCAAGGCATACAAAAAAAACTCACTCTAAAGCCCCTGCCCATCAGGACTCTGGCATACAGCCTCTCTTTCTGCAACCGAGCAGTAAAGGAGTGGAATGAGCTACCAGAAGAAATCCTCCATTGTGCAAATTGTAGCCACGAGGCCTTCAGGAGCCAACTAAAACAATTGTAAACTTCTGTCTGACCACTGTTAATCTACATTGTTTGTTAGGTAGATATAATGCAGTATAGTGAGTGATGGGGAATGATGGTACAGTACAATTTCAAAAGAACATTCTCGGAAAAGTTGCAAGCTCTTGGATTCATAGATTTTGTATTTCATATCTGAGAACCTTTTTTTCACCTTATATTGTGCATATCTCAGAGTCTTAAGTTATTAAAATCATTGCTTTCAGGATTTTAGATTTGTAAACTTGAAAATATTGAGAAGGTTCTCATTAAAAACATTAACTAAATGCAGTCTCAATGTCAGATTTCATTCATTGAGTCTTGTTGGCAATGCCATTTGTCTGTGTTTGGACAATCCACATACAAAAAGACCATTGAAAGTGTATTTAACAATAATTAGATCTCAAGTACAAATTACCCTATCAGACAAAAGGCAGTGTTAGACCAAAAGGCAGTGTTAGACCAAAAGGCAGTGTTAGACCATTTATGTTTATTTTCTAGCAATTATTGGATATGCATCTAAGCTTCATGAGACATTGTAACTGTATGTAATTTTTATTAATCTTTATGTGATTGTAATCTTGATAATGTTAAACTCATAGAAAGAACAAGGAAGAATATTTATTGAATCTAGCAAGAGATAACACACAGCTGCTTTTCAATAAGCTATGGCAGGTATGTCACTTACAAACAGGGGATTTTGATATAATATGAGTCCTTACACATGTGTATACGTGCATGTTGGACATTTTCTGTTTTAGAAAATTGTTACCCATTTCATAAAATAAATTTACTCTAATGTTATTTCAGCTACCTGTTGAAAGATCTGAGAATGTTGTTGTAGCTCAGGTATGTTTAGTAGTACTACATGTAATAAGAACTAAAACTGTAACAGGCCTTAACAATGGCATATTTTTGTCTTTTCAGCTTACAGAACCAGAAACAGTAATTCCTAGAGAAAAACCAGTAAGTTTGCATTGATTCAGGTCAAATCCATAAGAACTGTGAAACACTTTGAAAAAACAAATGTGAAAAATAWGTTTTGCACTGATTAAACAAGACAAAGGCTTATCTCTGTTTTTTTCAATTTTGATTTGCATTCTCTTGCATTTCACTGAAAAACTAATGGAGTAGTATTATGTATAATTSACAGATACCCAAGCCTAAACCTTTAACAAAGTGGGAAGAATTTGCAAGGCAAAAGGTAAAAGAMTTTTTTAGTTATTTCTTGTTAGATTTCTGAAGTTTAACTCAATTTTACATTATCACAACAGGGAATTAAGAAAACAAAGAGAGAAAGAAAGCTATTTGATGAGGCAAAAGGAGTAAGTAGTATCTGTTCCTAAAGTATTTTGTGTCCAATCTGTAATTGTTTATTTAGATTTTTGAAATATTCAGTTGAGAAAAGATTTTGAATACAGTGCAGCACAGTCATATAGCACTAAAAGGTATCACAGTTTGTGGTTAAGATTGCAGCTCCAATTAACATCGCTAGTTGAAGTGATGTACTTGTAATTGCTTGGCTCAAGTAAAGAACAAACCACAAAAAAGCCTATCACTGACAGTAATATTATTTAAGGGCTGCAAGACTACACCAGTTTTTGCACACTCTAATAAAATCTAATATGTCATTATATCTCAGGAATATCTACCAAGATATGGATATAAGCGGACTAAAGATGATACTCAGGATTGGATTGCAGAAGTTCCAGCAAATGCAGGTAAATTTATTGCTTATTAAWTGTACATTGTAGATAGACACCCATGTATTTTATTTCATGAAAAAGTGACTGATTGATGCTTTTTTTGATTGATAAACTTAAGACCCATATGAAGATCAGTTTGAAAAACGAAATAAGAAAAAGAAAGAACTTGTTGCCAAAAATGAATATCAAAGACTTCGAAATATTGCAAGACATAAAAAGATCAAAAGTAAGTGGTAATATTAATCACTAATGGAAATACTTTGTTTTATATTCTAAATAGGCACCCAATAACCCTGCTTAAAGAAGCCCCTGCATTTTGCATTTTTTCACAGTCAATTCACTATATTGTCCCTTTAATGTTCAATTGATAGAACATTTGCAAAATTGACATTCTATC